GGGGGAGGGGGGAGTGTCGGGAGCTGGTTCCAGTGAACGAGTCCAGGTGCAGGCCGGAGCAGGCACGACAGCATTCATTTGGGTGTGGCTCATTGTTTTGGCCTGGGGAAGGTGGCTCTGCTAAGGTCCTTGGCAGAAGGGCAGCAGGGTTACAGGCAGGCTGGCTATGGAGGGCACAACACAACTGGCAGGGCCGAGGCTGAACTGTCTGTCTCAGGGCAGGTGTGAGGGAACCTCTTGGAGCCCCCCTTGGAAAGCAGTGAAGGAAATCCCCGTCGGAGACCCCCAGCCTGGCACCGACGCCCGATTGGGTAGCTGATGGAAAACTGCAGCACTTCCCAGTGCCGGGCGTTCGCTCCCCGAGGACGGCCGGGGTGACTCAGGCATGTCAGCGTTTGCCTCTCCAGAGGGATACAGAACCCGAGAGGCTCTTGCTGAGTGAGGGCGTCGGCCATTTGCCGAGGTCCCTCCAGCAGCGGGAGGCCTACAGGTGAACAAACATGGTTGCCCTCGCTGTGAACAGCCGATTACCTGGCAACCGTGGCATGGGTTGACTTATGCACAGGAGAGCCAATATCTTTCGGGGGAGCCTGGTAGCAAGCAAAGGGCGCATGACTGCCCCCTACTGGTCACCAAAGGGCTAGCAGGGATGGCCGGTCCATCAGAGCACAGGGATGCCGCGGAGGGGACGTCCCGCCACATGGATGGGCCAGTAACTGCCCGTTCTGTCTAACCAGCCTGGGCGAAGTCATTCAGTGATGTCATCTCCCAGTCCGTGAGGTCACAATTCAGCCGCACGGAGGTGTGCCCCAGGCTGGAGACAACCGAGGGCTAGGCGGACCCTGAGTGAAGACGTCCACCTTTCACTCCAGGGACTCAGCGGGAGGCCTGGAGCCCTGCGGGAGGAAGCAGGATCCAGCAGTGAACTGGGTAAAACACACACGTTCATTTGTAAAACCCCTGCGTGTCTGGGAGCCTTTTAACGCAGAGCACAGGGGAGCTCCGCAAGGGCAAGATGCCCCTCTGGGTCCAAGGCGCTGGGGGATCATAGCACCAGTGCAGCTCAATGGGCAGCACCCTCTGCTCTGTACATCAGCAGGGCTCCCTTGCGGTCGATAACGCTACACCCAGTTGCACCAGCGGAGCAGCTGGAGCCTATCTAGGGAGGAGTCTCCGTGTGAGGTCGTGCCCAGACCGGAAGACATGCAATTGCTAGACACTGCCCGGTGGGCATCTGGGTGCTCCAGACCAACCTCAAATGCTTGCAGAGGCTCCCCCCTAGACTGCCCTTTGCCCAGCGGCGGGAGAGGTGGCGCAGGAGTAACACGGTGGGCAGCAATGCGAGCGAGACGTGGAGGTGGGTGAGTGACAGCTTGGGATGGGGCCAGGGGAGGATCAAAGGTGGCTGGCAGCGCTTCAGAGAACCAGGGACCATCAGACAGTCTGGGGAATGTTTAGAGGGGGAACAAGCATGAAAGAGGATGAGCAGAGCGGGGTCAGGGAAGCATGGGATAATAACCATCGGGCATATATATGAGACACACCCAGCACTGGGAAGGGCTTCAGCTCAGTAGAGATAATCAGACACTTGCGGGGCACCTCAAACTGCTCTGTCAACTACACGCTAGATTCCTGTCTGCCCCATGAGGCCACGTCACCCGCTGCTGAATGCAGCCACTTCTGGGGCATCGCCTGGTCAATGGGCCACAACCACATGACACACCCATTTAGGACAGGGGCCAGATACACTGAGACTTTGGGGGGATTGTTGGGGAGCTGAATACAATCACCATGCGGTCTTCACTGACGATACGTTCTCGAGACCTCCGTTTTCTTTCTCGCCCCAACACCAGGATCTTCAGCAGCACCACGCGGGGGCCACTGGTCTAGAGGCAAGAGTGCCTTGTGATGAATTACTAGCCCCACTTCCTGAGAGGCCTCCCCGACAAGCATTGCAGCAGCCCAACCGCGTGTAACTGCGAATACTACACAGCACAACAATGCAACGGGCGACAACGACAGAGAAAGGCAAATCTAGCACTGAAGGCGCTGGAGAGCCTTGGAAGGTTAGGAACAGTCAGTGACATCACCGAACCTGCTTCTCGAGCTGGAGAGATTAGAAGAGGGTCAGAGGATCACTGTGGATCTTCTCTTGCACCTGGCTGCTTACCTGTGACTCCTGCAAGCAGAGAGCAGCGTGGCTGAATGGAAAACAGCTTGTAGAGAACAGACTCGTGTCCCATAACCCTGGACTCAAACAGCCTTGAATGTTTCTAGGGGAGTGTCTCGGAAACTGTAGCCAGGACCAAACTGGCTCTGATCACTCTGGTGGGCTGAACCGGAGTCCTGACTCCACAATGCTCCTGAACACGGGGGTGTTCAATCGTCGTCCCTCCCCTCCCCGTACTGCGGTACAAGCCCCAGCGGGCTGTGCCGAACACTTGTTGGAGGTGCGCTGACCAGATCAGAGTTAGGATGGGTGGGGACAAGAGCAAGAAGGTGAATCGCCGTCAGAGAGACAGTCTCTCAACCAGTTCCCAGGCTGGGTAGGAACAAATCATAGAATCATAGAATTATAGGACTGGAAGGGACCTCGAGAGGTCATCGAGTCCAGCCCCCCGCCCTCAAGGCAGGACCAAGCTCCGTCTACACCATCCCTGACAGATGTCTATCTAACCTGTTCTTAAATATCTCCAGAGAGGGAGATTCCACCACCTCCCTTGGCAATTTATTCCAATATTTGACCACCCTGACAGTTAGGAATTTTTTCCTAATGTCCAATCTAAACCTCCCCTGCTGCACTTTAAGCCCATTACTCCTTGTCCTGTCCTCAGAAACCAAGACGAACAAATTTTCTCCTTCCTCCTTGTGACACCCTTTTAGATATTTGAAAACCGCTATCATGTCCCCCCTTAATCTTCTTTTTTCCAAACTAAACAAGCCCAGTTCATGAAGCCTGGCTTCATAGGTCATGTTCTCTAGACCTTTAATCATTCTTGTCGCTCTTCTCTGTACCCTTTCCAATTTCTCCACATCTTTCTTGAAATGTGGCGCCCAGAACTGGACACAGTACTCCAGCTGAGGCCTAACTAGTGCAGAGTAGAGCGGCAGAATGACTTCATGAGTTTTGCTTACAACACACCTGTTGATGCAACCTAGAATCATATTTGCTTTTTTTGCAACAGCATCACACTGAGAAATGAGCCAGAGGAACACAGAACTGGAACCAAAGTGCTGATGTTCCGAATGGTGGGTTGACGGTGGGATGAGCAAGGTTCTGCCCACCAACACTGCCTGCCAACAGGTGCCAGGAAGAACCAAGGATCTCCCATGATGTTCCCACAAGATTTTAGAGTCTGAGGTTGTTCCTATGGGAAAGTTCCTACCCAGCCTTCTGTGAGATAACCCTAAATGAAATGAGTCTTTTGAAGTCTCTCATTGCTAAAGGCAGCTATGAAATTTTGCTTGACGGGGCAAATATTTATGATCAAAATAATCAACTATCCAACTGCAATAAATTCTATCATCCAGATTCCCCCCAAAGACCCCTAAACTACATGATTTGACGGAGAATCCAGGATGGAGCATAAATTCCATTCAGCTGGTTTCCAAACCATTAAATGTAATTTCCAAATATTTGTCAGGCTCTTCCACGAGATGAATTAAGCTGTGAGGTCCCTGGAGTTTCCGCAGGACGTTAATGGTGGAAAGAGCAGCGCGTGTCCCAGTCAATGTCGGTGCCAGGGGGTGTCTTAGGAACCGAGTGTAGGGAGACAGACCCACAAAGAGGCCAGGCACCTAACTGTCCTCAAACTCAGTCTGGAGAGGTTGGGCCCTGGAGCCTTTCAGGGAGGACTTCCTGGTGTGCCGCTAGTCTGCAGCAGAAGTGACCCACAGTTGTTAGCATCTGACGCCTGTCGGGGGGTCTGTGGGAAATGAGGGGAAGGAGACCCCAGTTCCCAAGGGATGGATGTCTCTAATCTTGGACCTATCTGCCTCGCTTGCCTGGAGGCTCAATAGAGCAGCCAGTGACTCAAGGGGACACGCAGCCTTCAGCCCTTCAAGATGACCCTTTAGGCACATTGGCAAGAACAGAAGAACATCAGAACGGCCAGAGGGGGTCAGACCAAAGGTCCATCTAGCCCAGTGCCATGTCTGCAGACAGTGACCAGTGCCAGGTGCCCCGGAGGGAGGGAATCCTCATGTGATCCCTCCCCTGTCACCCCCCTCCAGAGAAACACAGGCCAGGGACACCAGTCCTACCCATCCTGGCTAATAGTCATTGATGGACCTAACCTCCATGAATCTATCCAGCTCTTTTTTGAACCCTATTGAAGTTCTAGCCTTCCCCGCATCCTCTGGCAAGGAGTTCCACAGGTTGACTGTGTGCTGAGTGAAGAAAAACTTCCTTTTGTTTGTTGTAAACCTGCTGCTATGAGGAGCTACGAGGCAGCGTGCACTGCTGTCCCCCGCACCGGCCGGTTCTGGACAGAGGATTTCAGGTTCCAGGGCAGCCCGTCAGCAGGACTCATGACCACCAAACTCATTGACAGCTGCCCATGCTCCTGCAGCTCCAGAAACAGCTAGGAAGGGCGCCCTGTGTAAGAACAAGAACGTGGCCACGCACAAGCCCAAAGGATCAAAGCAGGCTCGGCCCCAGGAACCACCTGTTGCAATGAGATTCATCCTCCTCCTCCAGAAAGGTCACCTTTCACCTACCCATCTCAAAGATTTTTGTGTCTACACTGCAGCGTTTTTCTGGAAAAGCAGCCGTTTTTTTCTAGAAAAACAATACTTGTATCCACGCTGCCATTGCGTTCTTTTGACAGAAGGGAGGGTTTTTTTCAACAGTGGTACGAGGAAGAAGCCTTTTTGCGAAAAAGTGTTTTTGGAAAAGGTGTATGTGGACACAGAGGAGGGAGTTCTTTCGAAAGAAGAGGCCTCCAGGAAAAAGCACAGGTGTCTGGTGGCCCCTCCGTCCAAGCTAATCACAACTGAAATGCGCGAGAGCATCCAATCAATGTGGACACGCTCTTTCGAAAAAGCACATCGCTTTTTCATTGCGCTTTTGCTGTGTGGACGCTCTCTTTCTAAAGTAGCTTTTCCAGAAGATCTCTTCTGGAGAAGCTTCTTCCGAAAGAAGCCTGCAGTCTAGATGTAGCCCAAAGGTGGGGGAGCATGAGGCCCCTGGGGGAAACTGAGGCACGGAGCAGCACTGGGTTTTGCCCAAGGCCAGTCAGTAGGTCGGTGGGGGACTGGGGAACAGAATCCAGGTATCTTGATACCCCATGTGGTGCCTGGCAGACGAGGCCGTGCTGTCTCCAAAAGCCACAGAGGTAAAATAACTGCGCCTTGAAGGCTGGTTTTTGCTAATGTCGCTTCTCGGCAGATTACAGGCCTGGTACCGGGCTCCCTTGCGCAAGGCAGATGCCTGCAGAAATGTCACGCTTCTGCACAGGGTAGATTTTGGCTGGGAAGTGATTACGCGCCTCCTCCCTGATGCTCCCTCAGGAACTGCGATCCTCACGCACACAGCCCGGCAAGCTGTGATGGGGAGAGGGGAGATCTGGGAAGCCGAGGGTGGCAGTGATAAACCTCCTGGAACTCATGGCAATTAATCTTGTGACGCTGTGAGTCAGCCTAGCCCAGAAGCCCAGCCCGGCGCCGACGCCAACCCCAGGGAGTTCGTCTCGGCTTCGGGGACTTTCACAGGCCACCAGGCTCCGGAGACATGAACTGCGAGGACTCACGCCAAAGGAGGCGGGCTCCAGCCCTCGGCCGTGAGACGTGCACGCCCGCCGGCAGCGGCTGGCTCGCCTTTGGAGCTCGCGGCTGGCTGGCGGGCAAGCCCCCGTGTGCCCAGCACGGCATTTGTGCAGCTGCTTCCTTCGGGAATGAGAAACTCAAGAGTGGCCCGAGTCGAAGAGGAATGCCACACATCACGGGACCCCACGGGGCCGGTTTCCAGTGGGCCACTCCTGGGACAAAGCCCTCCAGTTAACCACCCAGTGGGAGAGCGCCCGGCTGCCCAGCGGGGAAGAGAGCTCCCCCCAAAAAAACCCATCTGCAGCGCTCCCCTCAGTTTGA